TCTCCCCCCCCAGGCCCCATTAACCCACCCAAATGTCCCCTAACCCCCATTTTCCCTTTAATCCCCTCCCCACACAGATCCCTTTGACCCCCCAGAGCCCCCAAGACCTCTTTTAACTTCCCTAAATGCACCCAAAGCCCCCCTAACCCCCCTTAAATCCCCATCCCACCCCTGCAGATTCCCCCAAATCTCCCGCAGCCCCCCCCCAAATCCCTTCCAACCCCCCCAAGAGGGATCGCCCAGCACCCTGGGACAAGAGCACAGTGGGCTGTACTGGGGGCACTGGGCTGTACTGGGAGGGCACTGAGGGGGCTCATGTGCCCCATGACAACGTGGCCCAGCTCCAGGAGAGATCTGGGGAGCAGTGAGGAACTACTGGTCTGTCCTGGTCTGTCCTGGTCTGTCCTGGTTTGTACCCCCAATCCCCAAAGCCCCTCCCCAGCTCCCCCAGGACCCTCCCGCACCCCAAAGCCCCCCAAGTCTCCCCAGGCCCCTGACTTGGTCCTGCTGCCCCTTGAGCATCTGCAGCTGCTGCAGAACCAGGCATTTCATCAGCAAATGTGCAGCTGACACCAAGCTGGGGGTGTGTTGATGTGCTGGAAGGCAGGAGGGCTCTGCAGAGGGACCTGGCCCAGCTGGATCCATGGGCTGATTGCAAGGGGATGAGGGTCAAGCAGGCCAAGGGCCGGGTCCTGCCCTTTGGCCACAGGAAGCCCCGTCAGCCCCCCGGGCTGGGGCCAGAGTGTCTGGAGAGCAGGCAGGCAGAAAGGGAGCTGGGAGTGGGGATGGACAGGAAGCTGAAGAGGAGGCAGAGTGTGGCCAGGTGGCCAAGAGGGCCAATGGATGGTGGCCAGGCTGAGGAAGAGTGTGGCAGCAGGAGCAGGGAAGGGATTGTTGGGCTGGAGTGAGCGCTGGTGAGGCCACCCCTGGAGTGCTGTGTCCAGCGCTGGGCCCCTGAGTTGAGGAAGGCCCTGGAGGGGCTGGAGCAGGAGCAGAGAAGAGCAGCGAGGCTGGGGAAGGGAGTGGAGCACAAGTGGTGTGAGGAGGCACTGGAGCTGAGGCCCTGCAGCCCGTGGGGCAGAGCAGGGTGGGGCAGCTGTGCCCCTGCAGCCCCTGGGGGAGCATCGGGGTGCAGAGACCCCCCTGCAGCCTGTGGGTGACAGTCGGGGTGCAGAGACCCCCCTGCAGCCCATGGAGGCTCCCACGCTGGAGCAGGGGGATGCAGGAAGGGGGCTGTGACCCCGTGGCAGGCCCAGGATGGAGCAGGGTCCTGGCAGGGACCTGCAGCCCGTGGAGAGGGAAGCCCAGGCTGGAGCAGGTTTTTCCCAGGTAGGACTCATGGCCCCTGTGGGGGACCCACACCGGTACAGCTCATCCGTGAGGGACTGACCCCATGGAGGAGTGACCCACGGGACAGCAGGTTGGGAAGAGCTGCTGCCCGAGGGATGGACTCACATCGGAGAGGTCCATCAAGGACTGTCTCCCGTGGGAGGGACCCCACGGGAGCAGGGGAAGGACTCCAACTCCTCTCCCTGAGCAGCGGCAGAAACAACAACTGACCGTGACCCCCATTCCCATCCCCTCCCATCTCCCTGCTGGGGGGGAGGAGAGAGAACATGGAAGGAAAGGGGGGGGAAGGTGTTTTTAAGACTGTTTTATTTCTCACTCTTTGGCTCTTATCCTGTTAGTAATAAATATAAGTACTATCCCCACCTGGAGTCTTGTTTTGCTCATGAAGGTGATCAGTCACTGACCTCTCCCAGCTCTTATTTCTACTCAGGAATTCTTAGCTGGTTTTTTTCTCTGTCCTCTGTCCAGTTGCAGAGGGAGAGTGAGAGAGTGGCTTTAGTGGGTACCTGGTATCTGGCCAGGGTCAACCCACTACAAGAATATAAAAAGAAGTAATTTTTTTGGCCATGTTCTGATGCAGTTAAGGAGCTGGAAAACCAAGACTGGTGCAGGGAGGTCCAAAGCATGGCTTTGGGTCTGGATGATGGAGACCTCACATTTAGAGGGAGATAGACTCTGCCGTTGCTTTCCTAGACTTTGTCCCACCTTAATGGTGTTTTTCCACCCACAGCAGCATTGCTGGGAGATGTTGCAGTGACACATCCCCCCTTCTCTGCCAGGGCAGCATCGTGGCCCTTCCCACCCCACCATGGATTTTCCATTCCTGTGGCAGGGACTTGTCCCCACCTGATATCCGAATGGGAAATGCAACTCCTGGGGGTGGCTTTCATGGTTCCACCACAGGCTGGCACAGATTCTGATCCAGCTTTGAGAAATTGTGTGGTCTACGTGTTCTGGATAAAGCTGTCCCACCTTTGCACGTTATGACCCAAGAGAGTTTCGGTGGCCAGTTTGTGTATCAAAAGCACTCAGTACTAAAATGTACCAAGTTGCACCTGTGGACAAATCTGCACGAGCTCAATGCCCTGCGTACCCACACAGGCTTTTCTGTCTCGAATCCTGCTCATTGCGTGCCTGAGACTGGATTTATTTCAGCAGCTAAATGGTTCACTGGAGGACTAATTGGCTCTGAGAGCTCCAGTCCTTTGTGACAGATTATTAACCCTTCCCCCGTCATTATAAAAACATGAACTGTAGAGAAACCAAATACCACAGGGCCCCTGCGCCGAGCCCGTCAGTGCTCCCGGCTCGGTGTTCAGCACAGAAAGTCCCTTTTATATTTGGGAAGCGGAGGGAGAAAATTCTGGAAGCGCGAGAACGCGGCGATAGCTGGGATGAACTGGGAGCCCTTAGGAAAGGACTGGGAGGTACTGGGATAAACTGGGAGCCCCGAGGAAGGAACCGGGGCTCTCCCGTCATTTGCGTAGCGCTGAGGGCAGGGCGCTTACGCCACTTGCGTAGACTAACGCAGTTTACGTAGCGCCCCTCTCTTGCCGTTACCGGCGCCCCCTTACGCCGTTTGCGTAGGGCTGTGGGCAATGGCAGCGCCCCTTACGCCGTTTGCGTAGGGCTGTGGGCAGCGGCGTTAGGAGGGGACTGGGATGGACTGGGAGCCCTTAGGGAGGGACTGGGACAAAGTGGGAGCCCTTTGGAGAGGACTGGGATGAAGTGGGAAAGGTCCGCGAGCCCTTAGGAAGCCACCGTGGCCCTCCCGCCACTTGCGTAGTGCTGAGGGCAGGGTCCTTGCGCCTTTTGCGTATCTTTACGCAACTGACGTAGCTCCCCCATTGCCATTACCTGCGCCCTCCTTACGCTGTTTGCGTAGCGCCGCAGGATTGCTGGCCCCCTTACGCAATTTGCGTAGCGCCGCTCCATTGCCGGGGGTGTCCAAAAGCTCCTCCAAAAGTCAGTTTATGGCTTTGCAGAGGGCTCTCGGGAGTCACCGAGGGGCTGAATGTAAAGAGAGAAAAATTAAATCTTTAGGGGGAAAAAAACATATAACAATTGCATGTCTGTGTTCCCGAGGAGCCGTGGGTGTTTTTAGGCAGCTGCCTGCAGAGGCCATCGCCGTTTCGTGAGGCGGCATTAATGCAGCGGGAGGAGACTTGTTCTGCTGTTCACAGAAATTCGGATTTTAAGGTTTTCCTCCTTGGTCTGAAGCTTCTTCATTCTTCCTTCGCTCTCTTTCAGAGCAAAGGTTTTAATTTTTAAACTTAAGAGGAAAAAAGTATTAACAACAAGTGAGGAAAACTAGGGGGGAAAGGGAAAAGTTCTTCTGAAAGGATTACAATGTGCAAGCAAAATCAGTTCTCTCTCCAGGAGCCAAAAAATATTAGAGGTGTAAATTGGCTCCAAAATGCCCCCAGGGGCATAGGGAGGATAATCAGGATGACAGCGTGGCTGAGCACTCAGCATCCGGGGCATGGCCCAGGTGTGCAGGGAAAATGCAGCTCATCAGGCATGTGTTAAACAGAGAATTTGTTTCTGGTATAAAAAGATGCCTGACTGGTCTGTGCACACACCAAACCAGCCCTTTGTGACTTGCACAGGTTGACTTGACTTCCAGGTTTTGAGACTAAAAGACCAGCCTATTGCTAGTGCTGCAGAACTGTTTGTTTGATGCAAGGAGAAAACAGGGATTGTGGCAGGAGCGAGGTCAGGCAGATCCCCTTCGGTGCAAAACTCCTGGAGCGAGCTGCAGCATTTCTGTTAAGGGCCTTCTGTGTTGGAGTTGACTTCTGCCACTCCGGGACCTTTCACTTGCAAAGTACATTATGGGGCTCCTTTGTTTAACAAGTCTCTGGGAGCTGCGAGAGAGAGAATTAATGCTGGCATTTGGAAAGACAAGTGATAGTGCTGCATTGGATTTGGGTTTCATGTCATTATTTTCTGGTTCCGGAGTCAGAAAAAGCTGCTCATTTACTTTTCATGCAGCTGTACTGTTTTTTCCTGACTTCTTGAGGAGGCAGAGCTGATGAAATCGTGCTGTAGGAGACAGTTTCTCAGTTAAATGCATTTTATTTTGACCTATTTCCTTCCACTTGAGTCTAACATTTGGTCTCTTCATAGCCAATATTCTGTTTTATGGAAAGGCTTTAAAGTTTTCCTGAAGGAGATGAGTAAAAGGTGAAGTACCCAAGACAACCTAAATTTATATTATTCCTTTTGCCATTATTATTAAAAATAGGAAAGAAGAAGTAGTGTTGGGGAAAACACAGGGAATGCTGATGCAATTATACCTACATGTGCAAAGCTACGTGCTTGCTTTTACTCTTGAAATTTAGACCTCTGCTTTCCTTCTACAGACTGGGACAGTTCATTTCAGTTGCATTTTGCAACTACTGACATACATGTTCATTCCTAAATTCACTTCATATGCTTCCAAATCCTTAGGACAACATTCAGTTTAGGCACACCAAGAAAAACCTGGAGTGATTCCACCCACCTAAATGTAATTACTCAGTGCTGAATTAAAGGCACAGGTGTGTAACTTAAGACCCATGTGTTTGGAGTAACAAGGAGAGATCAAAATCTCAGCTTTTGTCATTAAATTCAATGTTTCCAGACCTTAATCCAAGACACACTTGTAGAGAGAGGTGATAGCTTCTTTTTAGAGGCATTACTATTATTAAACAGTGTTTTCTTGGACTGCTCACATTTTCTCCCAGCTCACCGTCTAACACTAATCTGTGACTAAATATTAAAAAAAAAGTGAGCTGTGAATGGTTTTAAGCTGAGACAAGATTCTCACTGTTAATGGCTTGGTCAGAGAGAGAGAGTATTTGTTTCAGCATGTAAATCTCTTTCCTGCAACGCTTAAAGCTGCTGATTCTGGAGTTTAGGAGGCCAGCGTGTCCAGAGCTGCTCTAGTCCCTGGGCTGATGAGCTCTCCCAGCTGGGTAAAGCTCTGTCAGGAGCCAGTTTGTAGTGAATTGACTGCAGGCAGAAAATATAAAAGCTCATAGGAAACATGAGCCTGACTCAGGAGCTATTTCTGTTCAGGTGACATTCTAATCCAAGCGTGTGGTGAATCACTACAGCAAAAATTGATTGGACCCCATATCAAACGAGTATTGATAAATATGAAGAAGTTTGTTTTGAGTTAGTAATATAAGGGGTCTTTTATATATATGGTGCATTACAACGGGGGGATTCAGGGCTTTGTCAGACTGTCTATAAAAATTAAAAAAATACATGTTTGTAAGATTTTAGAAGAAAAGGTACAGTTTCTCTTCCCTGCACGTGGCAATTTGCTGAATAATGCATCATTTTGTCAACTCTTATATAGCAATCGAGAAATGCCCTACAGTGCTCCCTGCACACAGGAGACAAGAATGCAGATCGTTATGGAAACAGGCTTGAAACTTGCTTGAAATAAAAATCTCCGTTCTATACTTGTGGCTTTGAAGGCCTGGGCTGTTTTTCTTTTCCTTCTGGAGTAGCTGCGATTCATCTCGTTCGAGTGGAGTGAATTCATCCCGTTTCCGAGGCCAACGGGAGGAGCGAGCGGGCGGCCATGTTGTGCGGGGGGCGGGGAGGAAGGAGCCGAGATGGCGGCGGCTCCCTCACACACACGGCACAGGATGGCCGGGGAGCAGCGGCAGCTCCCGCACGGCTCCCGGGCGCGCTCCCCGCCGCTCGCTCGGGGGACACCCGGCCGGATCCCCGGGTGCAGCGCTGGAGGGCCGAGTCGGGCCCGGCACCCTGGGGGCGAGCGGGGCTGCCGAGAGCGGCTGGGACGGGCGGGCAGCAATGGCGCCGGGACTGCGAGCGCTGCCCGCGCCGCTCCCTCGCCGGGCGGGCGCGGGGCCGCCCTTGGCCGCGGGAAGGGCGAGCATCGGAGCAGCGCCCCGTCCTCGGGGCCCCCGGTGCCGGCCAGCGGGCTGCTCTTCGCCAGGTGAGTGCCGCGCTCCTCCTAGTCCTTTGTCCTGGGGAGGGAAAACAAAACGTCCTCGGAGCCGGGAGGGGAAGGGGGCGCTGCCTCTGCCGGCCCCCCCTGCCACCCCTCGCCGCTCGCTGAGGGGACCCGCGGGAACTGTCGGGGACCCCCGGCCGTGTCCTGCCCGTGGGGGGTGAGGGGGAGCGGCGGGACCGGGGGAGCCCCGGTGCCCCTCGGCGGCTGCGGCGCTGCCGTCCCGGCCCTGCAGCACCCGCGGGGGCCGCCCGGCCCGGCCCCGATGCAGCACCGAGGGGGCAGCGGCGGGTTTTGGGTCCCCGGTGCGGCCCCGGGCACAGGGGGGGCACTCTGGGAAGCAAAGGTAGTTACTTAAATATGAGTTACAGGATAAGGAAACGGATGAGTTTGTGTGTTACGTGGAAAGCTTTTAAAAACGTTTCTGGGGTGTCAGGTTTGTTTTTAGTGTTCAGTTTATGCGTTTTTCAGAGACCTCACAGTCATTTCTCTTTCTGGAGCATTTTTTATCTTCTTTTCGGTACCTAATAATTTTAGAAGTTGTAGAAGACCTTTTGCAAGACTTTCTAAAAATGCAAGTTTAAATGGAATGCCTGACGTTTGTTATGTGTTAGCTGGCATTCAGCAATTACCAATGTAACGGCAAAACTGTAATTTGGAATGTATGAAAAGTCTCAAGTTTCTATAAGTTTCGAATAATAGTTTATTATCTGGTAAAAGCAGCAGCCGGCTGGGTGACAGAAATGGGACCAGTTTCCCAAATCTGCACCCCCCTACTACAGGGTACATTTAGTATTTATCTTAGCTACTTCATGCATATTAATTATCTCATAGACATATACATTCTACAGGTTTTTGCTAAGTATTTAATAGATGGGTTTTCTTACAGCTAAAGCTAAAGGGTTATCTCTACAACCAGTCATAATTCATGCATTCTTGGACGAACAGGCGCCTAAAGATTTAAAGTTCTACTATATTTTATTCTTAGGATAGTAAGGAGGTTTTAGGCCTCTTGACCTTGTGAGGGTCTGTTTTATTTCTTTATGGGGGTGTAATTAAGTTTTACAATCTGTTTGTTTTATTTTGATGTAACCACCCATTTGTTTCACGAATCACGGTTATTTATATATCACAAAAAGTCACTGTGATAGAGGAAGAGGTAAATATTAAGAGCTTTAGTTTTAGTTGGAGGCTGTGTTTAGCCATATTTGTTGGATTTCTATGGTGTACACTTGAGCAAGGTTATAAAACTCCGTGCAGGTTTTAAACATTGCAGTTGGAGGTAAATCTGGATTATTCAATACTTCCTCTGCAAATGTGAATCTGTCATTACAACAATATAAGTTTGCCCTTTTTTGGAAATAGAAATACAGGTTTTAGCAACTGCTGGACTTCTCCACCTTTATGCACAATGTTCCGTGTCTTTATTTTAGATTTGGATTATGGTGGTTTTCTAACCCAGCCACAGTTCTGCAGTATAGAACAGGTTCTGGCATACACACTGTGCCCTAAAGGAAGTTCTGGCTGTAGGTGGGTGTCTGCTGGATTTCTCTTTTCTTAAAGATGTTACGGGATTTTTTTTTTCGATAACTTCGAGTGGTTTCTTTTAACAACTGAAAATAAAATAACAAGTAATTGTCTCAAAAAATTAATTCCTCTTAATTCGTAGTGTGTTTTGTTTAACAGTTCTGCTTTTTTATATTCAAGGTGTAGGAATTGTAATTTATATTTGGATACCTTTTAATTTAGCAAGGAATGTTTTTTAAAATTGTGTTTTTACCCACTGATTCCAGTCTTCTTCTTAAGTATGAAGTAGTGGGGATGATAAATATAACTGCTGTAAAATAAAATACCATTTTTGCCTTCACAAAAGGCAAGAAAAGTTGGCTGGAGGTAGTGCAAATATAGTGTTCCTTTTGTTAAAGACCCTGGTTTGGGATCTGACGAAAGGTTAAAGAAGCTGAAAGCTTTAAAACTGTTTTCTAAAGGGCAAAAAGATGCATTTTTTAGGAAGGTCAAGCAAGGTAGGACTTACAATTCAGAGAAACTGATGACAGAAGCCATTTTGAAATAACTTTGCTGTCCCTAAAGGTTTTATTTAATTTTGCATAGCCTGGTTCTAAAGACTTTAATGTGAAAAAAAAAGCACAAGGGGTGAGGGGTATTGGGTGATAAGTTACTCAATAAAAAAGGTTAAGTTTGCATTTGATCTCTAAGTCTTTGAAAATTAAAGTAATGGAAGACAGAAGAGCAGATTGCAGTTAGTCACGAGAAGCACAGGTCGTGTGTGTTGTGTGTCAGTCACTGTCATCTCCAGTGTTTTATTTCAGCCAAGAATGTCCTTTTATTTTTAGAATTGTAAAGATACAGTTACTGCTCTCATAAGTTTTCTTGACTTAATAATTACCTAAAGATCAATACATTTCAGGCATGTGACTTGTTCTGCTTTTCTAAAGCAAAATGTTGAAAATTTCCATCCTTTTTTTTTTTTCCAGGTAGAATGCCATGAACAATTCCTTATTGTCTGAGTGGCTTCAGAGGAAACGTTCATGAGTTATTTTCTCAGGTAGGAGTGGCTGTAACTTGTGGTAGTATGTTCATTTCCTTGTTATTTTTTTATCTTGAAATTTGCCTTTTTGCTACTGTGCAGATGGTAAGAAAAGAAATCTGATTTTTTATGTGGAGGGGATACATTTTGTAAAGTATCTGGACTTTTAGAAAGCTTTTTTATTTTTTTTTTTTGCAGATGCAGGTAGACTGTCTTCAAATACTGTCATGTTTCTGTGCTCCTTCTGTCTAAATTTGAGTTTCCCCAGCCTGCCTGGTTAGGTGTTCCTCAACCAGACGACAGGAGGAGACGGCAGAGAGAGACCGGGCTCACGCAGGGCTGAGCAGCGAGTCAGGGGCTCTGCGCCTCAGGGCTCTGGCCTGTGCTGCAAACTCCTCTCACTTCTGCCTTGGAACCAGTGGAGGAGCACCTGGAGCACACCTGGGTGTTCCAAGGACAGAGACTCCCTGACTCACCATGGCAGACAGGCAGGAGGAGGCGCGGAAGGGAGGGAGCCAGGTGAGAGCAAAGTGTCCCTCCCGCAGCCTGGCAGAGGGGCTGTCAGGGTGGGCAGCACAGGTGCCATGCCCGGGGCCACTGTCTCTCTCCCTCCAGCATGCCTGCTGTGTCAGTAATCAGAGCCTGACCCGGACATCTTGGGCGGAAAAACTCCAGATAAATGGTTTCTGTGCCCACCAGTTCTGCCCTCCCAACAGCGAAACCAGTCCCGCCAGCCAACGGGACTGGTCAATGCAACAGGAGCCACTGGGAGGGACTGGGAGGGACTGGGTGTCATTATCTAGTTAACTAAACCAAGTCCCTTCACTATGAACCTTAGACAAGGTAAAAGGGAGGTAACTTGGTTTATGTCTTTACAGGGGCCCAATTAAGTTTTACGATTTCTTTTTCTTTTCTCTCTCCGGGTTGTGTTGACCTCAGGCTGTTTTCTTTTTATGGACCTCAAATCGTTCTCCCTTTTACCTTGTCTAAAATTTATAGTGAAGGGACTTGGTTAAGTTAACTAGATAATAACACCTTTCTTAAAAGTTGATAACTGTGCAGATAACAAGCACCCATCTGCTCAGTGTCTGACCTGACAATGTGTAATGTTTTTGCTGTTGTGTAATAAATGTATATATTTATATAGAGAATAAATATAGAACAAGTGTCTCCTTTGGGGGTTGGTCAAACCCCTCCCTGATCACCCAGCGCTGAATTTGGTTTTCTCAGGTAATAAATTCTGGTTGGAAACCACTCGACTCTGGGTTTCTGTTCCTTACAAGTGTGGATCTGAAATATTATATCAATAATTTACTTATCTCAATATACTTTTATAGAAATTATTTATTTATTTATTTATTTATTTATTTACACGTATTATACAGTTGTATATATATTATTGAGATAAATTGTATATCAATATATTATATATAAATATATAAAGACATATTTATATATTAATTTCTAGACATTATTTATGTATTTAAATGTTTATTTATTTTATATATGTTTTATATACATTTTATATATTTACATATATTATTGATATATATTATATATCAATATATTTATATATTGATATATAAAACATATATTTATATATAAATGTATATATTGTTTATGTATTTGAATATTTATTTATTTTATATATATTTTATATATTTATATATTATTGATATATATTATATATCAATACATTATATATAAATATATAATTAATATATATATTATTGATATATAATATATCAATATATTATATATAAATATATAAAAACATATACTAATATATATAAATATTAATAACCGGGACTGGGGAGAACTGGGAAGCTTTACTGGGATCACTGGGAGCAGCCGGGCGGAGGCAGAGTGACAGCAGGGACAGGGGGGGGACACGACCCCCCAAAATCCTCACGGGGATGGGGGGGGTCCAGGCTGGGCCCGAGGCTCTGGGGAGGGGCTGCGGCCGCCGGCGGCTCAGGAGCTCTGTGGGGAGAGAAAAGGGGGGGACACCAGGGTGGGGGGGCGGGGGGACACCGGGATACACTGAGACCCCAACTGGATCCAGCGGGATCATATGTACTGGGATCATACTGGGATCAGACTAGGATCATACTGGCAGCAAGTGGTTCTACGCTTGGGGCAACTGGGAGCTACTGAGATCCCACTGGGAGCAATTGGGAGCAACTGGGACCATGCTGGGCACAACTGGGATCCTATTGGGAGCAACTGGGCCCACAGTGAAGGCGGCTGGGGTCATACTGGGACTGACTGGGAGCGTTCTGAGGGCAGCTGGGACCATGTTGGCGCAACTGGGGTATACTGGGAACAAGCAGGATCACGCTGGAGGTGACTGGGATCATACTGGGAGCGACTAGGACCCCACTGGGGGTGACTGGGAGTGGCTGTGAGCAACTGGGATCATGCTGGAAGCTACTGGGAGCAACTGGGAGTGAGTGGAACCACACTGGGGGCAAGTGGGATATACTGGGAGAGACCAAGAGTGACTGGGATCATACTGGGACTGACTGGGAGCAGGCTGAGGTCAACTGGGATATACTGGGAGAGACTGGCCGTGACAGGGATCCTACTGGGAGGGACTGGAACTACAGTGGGGTGACTGGGAGCAAGTGGGACCCTGCTGGGGGCAAATGGCTTTATCCTGGCAGTGCCAGGGAATGTCTGGGTTCATCCTGGGTGTGACTGACACCACACAGGGTGTCCCTGGGATCATACTGGAGTCATACTGGGAGAGACTGGGAGGGACTGGAACTGCAATGGGGTGACTGGGAGTAACTGGGACCATGCAGGGGGGAACTTGGATCCTACTAGGAGAGACTGGGATCATACTGGGACTGACTGGGAGAATGCTGGAGGCAACTGGGATATCCAGGGAGTGGCTGGGAGTGACTGAGATCATTCTGGGAGTGACTGGAACCATAGTAGGGGTGAAGGGGAGCAACTGGAACCACGCTGGGGGCAACTGGGATCCCACTGGGAGCAGTTGGGCCCCTACTGGGGTCCTACTGGGGTCATACTGGGAGTGACTGCAATAATACTGGGAGTATGTGAGAGGGACTGCAGCCATACTGGGGATGAGTGGGATCAAACTGGCTTCCTACTGGACGTGTCTGGAAGTTACTGGGATCATACTGGGGGTGACTGGACTCATACCGGGATCATACTGGGAGCAACTGGGACCATGCGGAGGGCAAATGGCAACCTCCAGGGAGTGACTGGGAGTGACTGGGGCCATACTGGACTCAGACGGGGGAGTCCCTGAGAGTGAAAGGAACCATCCTGGGGGTGGCTGGGAGCAACTGGGACCACCTTGGGGGCAACTGGGATCCTATTGGGAGTGACTGGGATCATAGTGGGAGTGACCAGCACCATACTGGAATCATAGCGGGAGTGACTGTAAGGAACCAGGATCAAACTGGGAGTGACTGGAACTATGCAGGGGGGAACTGGGAGCCAGTGGGGCCATGCTGGAAGGCAACTGGGAACATCCTTGGAGCAACTGGGATCATGCTGGAAGCAACTGGGAGTAACTGGGAGTGACAGGGTGCATGCTGGGGGCAACTGGCATAAACTGGGAGTGACTGGGAGTGACCGGGATCATCGTGATGGAAACTGGAACCATCCTGGGGCAAGTGGAAGTAACTGGGTGCAGTGGGTTTCTGTGGCTGGGTTTTGGTAGCGGGGGGGTTACAGGGGTGGCTTCTGTTAGAAGAGTCCAGAAGCTTCCCCTGTCCCGTGGAGCCAATGCCAGTGGCTCCAGGATGGAATTCCTGCCGCTGGCCAAGGCTGAGCCAGTCAGGAGTGACAGCAACGCCTCTGGGATAACATATTTAAGAAAAAGAAAGAATTCCAGCCAGGGAAGAGCGAACATGGGAATAACAACGTAGACCCCAAGGTCAGCGCAGAAGGAGGGGCAGGAGGTGCTCCAGGCACTGGAGCTGAGGCCCTGCAGCCCGTGGGGCAGAGCAGGGTGGGGCAGCTGTGCCCCTGCAGCCCCTGGGGGAGCATCGGGGTGCAGAGACCCCCCTGCAGACTGGGATGGACTGGGAGCCCTTAGGAGGGAACTGAGAGCCCTTAGGGAGGGACCGGGACAAAGTGGGAGCCCTTTGGAGAGGACTGGGATGAAGTGGGAAAGGTCCGCGAGCCCTTAGGAAGCCACCGTGGCCCTCCCGTCATTTGCGTAGCGCTGAGGGCAGGGCCCTTGCGCCATTTGCGTAGCTCTACGCAACTGACGTAACTCCTCCATTGCCATTACCGGCGCCCTCCTTACGCTGTTTGAGTAGGGCTGTGGGCATTGCCGGCCCCCTTACGCAATTTGCGTAGCGCCGCTCCATTGCCGCCCGCGGCGCCGCCTTACGCCGTTTGCGTATCCCTGTGCCGTTTGCGCAGCGCGGCGGGGGCGGGCCCGTGTCCCTGCTGATGTTTATTTATCAGTGTCCAGGCGCTCGACCCCTCAGCCCCTCACACACCCACGGGCCCCACGGCAGCGCGGGGGAGGATCCCGGGGGTGTCCAAAAGCTCCTCCAAAAGTCAGTTTATGGCTTTGCAGAGGGCTCTCGGGAGTCACCGAGGGGCTGAATGTAAAGAGAGAAAAATTAAATCTTTAGGGGGAAAAAAACATATAACAATTGCATGTCTGTGTTCCCGAGGAGCCGTGGGTGTTTTTAGGCAGCTGCCTGCAGAGGCCATCGCCGTTTCGTGAGGCGGCATTAATGCAGCGGGAGGAGACTTGTTCTGCTGTTCACAGAAATTCGGATTTTAAGGTTTTTCTCCTTGGTCTGAAGCTTCTTCATTCTTCCTTCGCTCTCTTTCAGAGCAAAGGTTTTAATTTTTAAACTTAAGAGGAAAAAAGTATTAACAACAAGTGAGGAAAACTAGGGGGTAAAGTTCTTCTGAAAGGATTACAATGTGCAAGCAGAATCAGTTCTTTCTCCAGGAGAGAAAAAAATATTAGAGGTGTAAATTTGCTCCAGAAATGCCCCCAAGGGCATAGGGAGGATAATCAGGATGACAGTGTGGCTGAGCAAGTGTGTTCTGCTCTATACCATTAATTTTCTGATGTTTAATACTTCAGCAGGTCCAGGACTTCCAGGACTGTCCTGGTGGCTGTGATCACAAATGATTCATCAGAGCCACTTGAACAAGAAAAGCCTTTCTAAACAAGGGCATTTCTGAGGCTCTTGCTGGTTTTTTTGCCTTCCAGCTGACCATCTTTGACTTCAGGGAGGTTGGTCTCAGGCTCAGGAAGAAGCCGGACAGCCCTCAGGAGACAAAGCTGCCCAAGACTGTCCGGCCCCCAGGCACGAGTGAGAACTCCAGTTCCAAGGTAGCCTTTTCCTGCCCTTTTCCATGCTGTTTGATGTGACACTTGAAGAGGCTGCGTGCCTTGCCTCCAGCTCATTGAAACCCCTCAGTGTGCGGGTCCTGTTGTCGTTGCAAACTGCTGGTGGTGGTGGAGTTCCTTCTGCTGGGGCAAAGGCAAAACGTGTTCTCCTAGTGAGATGCTGGAGTCCTGATCTGTGCTAAGCCAACACAAATAATTTCTGCTGAAGCTGGTGGGGTTTGCTGGAGTTTAGCCACCATGGCGAAGGCACAATAGCGGGGGAAGGCTGGGGCAGGACACAAGGGCACGAGCTTGCCATTTTCCATTGTCCCACTGAAAGAGCCACCTCTTGCTTTGGTGTTGTCACTGGCAAATGCTGGGGGTCATAGGATTCCCTGCACAGTGGCAGTGCTGGCCTTTGAAGGCTGAGGGCCTGAGGGAATTACTCCCAGTCTAACACAACTCCAGTTGCCCAGCACTGCTGAGAAAAGAGCTGAACGTTATCCTCATGCAGCACTCACCTTATTTGTCCTATTCCTATCTACTGTGGTACTTTCTTTTTGCCCTTAACCTTCTCTGGTGCTGTTCTCTTCTTACTGGTGTCTAAGCTCTAGAGTCTGGAGTTGTGTGGGCCTCAGTCTCCCTGCCTCAGAGTAAAGGTCACCCAAAAATTGTTTCCTATGGAGTCTGATGTAAATTCTTGAGTTTCACTTACTGCTTGAGTGCTCAGTGAGTGCCCAGAGCTCTGGGACCCCATTAGCACAGGGCTGTGCTGGAGGTAAGCGCTGCCTGGCATCTTGGAGAAGGAAAGCTGGAGAAACTCCGGCCAAAAGAGCTGCTCAGCTTGAGCCTGCTTGGTGTGGTCCAGCAGCTTTTGATCAGCTCAGAGCAGAGGTGGGTGAGCTACTGTTCCCCCAGTGGCAGCTGGGCAGACCTAGTCACCAAGAGCCTGGACTTCACCGGGGATCAAGAGAGGAGAGTCATTCACGAGCCTTCCTCCCAGCAGCTGAACCTCTCTCTGCTCTCTCTCACCTCTCCAGTTCTCATCCCCTGACCATTACAAGACCTTGCTTGAGCCTGTCCCATCTGAGCTGGTGTTTCAGAACTATGTCCTTGGCAAGGTCTGTGAAACGGCCCTGCTTCTGAGGAATAGAGACAAGGTAAGTGCTGGGATGTGGTGCTTTAACACTGTGCTAGAAGAAGAGCAGAGTGGTGTAACCCCCATGGTTTACAGCAGAACAAGTATCAGCTGTGGCCCATCCAGATTCACCACCTTGGATTTGCAAGATGGTGGGAATTTTCCCGTGCTGAGGATTCTCCCCTGATTTTGGCCGTGCCTTGGTGGTATCTGACATCCAGAGCAATGGGCTCTTGAGGGTTTCCACCTTCACTTGAACAAAGTGTGATTGTTTTGCAATTGCCCACGAAAGCTGAGAAGGAAGAAGTTGAAAAATGTCAGCAATTGTGTTGCCCTGTAAAGAGGAAAACTGAGACCTTTTGAATTTCAGTCAAGGAAACAGTTTCTCAAATGACTCTTGTGCCAAGAGCAAGCTGGTGGGAATAGACAGCAGGGAGTCCAAATCACCTGGTTTAGAGGTTGTGAGATGGGATTTGGTGCTCAGGGGTTGATACCCCTGTGCTAGCAAATGCCTGTTTGCTGTCCCTGTGCCTGTGTTCCCCTGAGGGCAGAAAGTGGCAGCAGGGTGGCTGCAGGAATGCCCAGCAGTCTGGCTTGCCTGCACTGGCAGCTGCCTGGCCACAATCACCAGGCAGCAAGAGCCCCTGGAGAGCTGAGACTGGCTTTTAATAATGAAACCACACTGTCAGTCGGTGCTGCTCATGTTTCTCCAGGCAGAAAATAACCTTTCAAGCCCAGAGTTGACAGGCCCAGCCTGCAGGGCCGTCTGGCTTTCCCTCACTCTGGCAAGCTGACTGCTCCCATCTTCTGCACCAGCCTTTCCTGGCAGTGTCCTGTGCTTCTCCCTTGCTTCTTTACAGCCCATTTCAACTCTCTTTGCCATCTCATTGTGTCAGGGTTTGTCTCTTTGTCTTGCTGTGTTCCTCCTTTTCTCTTCAGTTTCCCAGGAAGGCCAAGAGTCTGGTCTCCTCTGCTGGTGTGCCCATAGGACTGTCTCCCCACAGCTGGACTTCCCCCCTCCACCTCAGTCTGTTAGAAGGGAATTTCTTCCTTCCCCCAGGACAATGTGCTGGTTTGCCTTCAGGTAGCACATTCTCCCTCTGGAACAGGGCTGCGTGGCTGTGTGCAGGCAGAAGCAGGCAGATTCTCTGGGCTTGTTGAAATGAGGATGACTTGGTTCAGGTGTTCTATCTCCATACTGCTGGTGCCTGACCTTCCTTCCCAGCAGGCACTGCCCTACTGCCTCTGGCCGAGCCGCTTTGCCCAGGCAGAGGGATCCAAGTTCACCCTTGTGTAGCCTGTGCTTGTACCTCCAGAGCTAAAAGTCTTTTGGTAAGATGGTCAAGGAAGGCTGTCACCAGGGCACACCCAGGTCTCCTCCTGTTTGCACAAGTGGCAAAATCACCATTTTGTGTCTTTCCTGCAGGTTACTCGGCTGGTGAAGGTCACCATGGACAGCTCACCTTATTTCAAGTTGGTCGGCCCCAATGGTGTGTGCCATCAGATCCCACCGGGCTCAGTTTGCACTATAAACATCCTTTTCACCCCTGAGGGGAGCAAGGTGAGTTGGAGGAACGTTCTCTCTAAAGCCAGGGCGTTTGTTGCACGCTGGTTATAGCCCAGCCCGTGCTGTGAGGTCGGCTCTGGGCTGGGGGCAGGCAGCCTGGAGCTGGTCACACCTCGTCACGGCGTGGTGCTGCCAGGCCCTGCAGCTGGGCCTAGAGGGCTGTGCTTTCCCTCCATGCCTGTTCTTGAACGTTCACGGGGGAAGAGGCAGATGGAACAGCAGGGAAATGACAGGGAGGGGTGTTGAGGTTTAGCCATCTCTAGGTTCAGTGGAAGGGATTTAAATATGGAAAATACCAGAGGAACAAAAAGATGATCCAGAGAGCTTTATTCTTTCCCATTGGAATGGAGCAAAACTGATGCTTTTTCACATGCTCTGTTCTCCAGCCTTTATTAGTATGAATTAGTGGTCGTTTTTGGGGTGGGAGAGGTCAATTCACGCCCACAAAGGGTCATAGAAAACAGCACTTTTTCTTCTGCCATGAGGATGGCACTCAATGCCCTCAATGCTGTGCCAGTTACTTTTCCTGCAGGATCATTTCCACCAGCTTGTCTGCAGCAGTGAAAGGGAAAAGGTCTCTGTGCCAATCCGAGCCATTGGTGCCCGCCCAGTCTTGGACTTCCCTGACCAGCTGGACTTCTCGCCGTGTCCAGTCAACCACAGCACCCAGAAGACTCTGCTGGTTCACAACACTGGGAACCTGGAAGCCTGTTACAGCCTCAGCACTGAGAGGTAAAGCAGCTCATCTGTCTTAGTGCAAAACACCTTTGGGTGATGGCAGAGTTGGGAAAGAGGATCCCAAAGGAACCAGAGCATCCGAGCTGCTGCACTGCAGCCACAGCTGGAAAGGGGCAGGACGTGTGGGGTCTGCTGTTGCTTCTAGTGTTTTAAGCAGGATGCAAGCCCTGAGCTTTGTCTCTCCCAGATTTCCTGGGGACTGCTGGAACACGTTAGTGGTTGGTCTGCACCCTCCTGAGCACCAACACCTTCTGAAATGGCTGCCTCCCACTGTCAGCCAATAAACCCACTGGGCAGAAGCACCTCTCACCTGAGCTATCCTGAAGCACTAAAGCACTGGTTTTTGTGTCTGTCAGGCAAGAGCTGTTTACCTGGTGACAAAGCCAAATTGCTCCTGTTAAATCCAAACTGCACCAACACATTTGCCTAATGATTTCCCTTGTTTCTCTGGTGGGCCAAGTAAACAGTTACCAGCCTGGATGACACTCCAGAATCCCAGACTGCATCGCTGGGGAATACACAGAAACCTCCTGTTCAGCTCCCTTGATGTGCTGCTCTTAATGGCACTTCATTTAGCTGGGATTGAATCCTTCAGGCTGTAAACAGGACCCTCCTTTTGGGTACTGTGTCCAGGTCACTGTATTGCTCCAATTTGCAGTTGCACTCCTTCAGAGTTTTCATTGCTCCTTTTCTTCCAGCAGCTTTCATTGAAATGTGATAAAAGGTGCCCTTTCTTAGGCTAAACCAGGATGTTTACAAGGGGAAAAACAACCCCAGACAACCACACTGCAAATTAAACTCATTATTCTCTGGTCTTCAAGGAAGACTTTATTCTCCTTCTTGATTCCTAGGCTGGAATCTCACAGGACAGGTGAGATGCCATTTGCATCTCTTGAATGAGGTTTATAAGGGACTGGAAAAGAGATTCCTGAGGCAGCCAGTGTCAAGTTGTGCATGCAAATAGCTCTTAACCCTCTCTGTGCTCTTCCCAAACCAGTCTCTGCTGGGATTGCTGGCAGTCGGACCCTTGAGCCTCCACGCAGAGTATGGGGGAGATGAGTTCATTTCATCCCACAGGATTTTCTGAGGGCTGCATCTCCTCCAAAGAGAGTCAGTAGCTGTTTCTGATGCTGTGTGTTCTGTCTGTCTTCTGCTGACTGTGGTTGCTTTGCTCCTCGCTTGCACAAGTCAGCTGAAGTGAACTAGACTGCAAGTATCGTCCCCAAACCTCCCCCAAGAGTCCTGATCTCTCTCTTGGTCTTGCAGCCCTTTCACTGTCAGCCCAGCCACGGGAACCCTCGATGTTGGTGAAGCCAAGCAAGTGACAGTGGAATATCACCCGCTGGAGACTGGGCACCATTCCACATCCCTGGCAGTGCACTGCGACAGAGGTGAGTGCTGGGCACTGCACGGTGCACTCACCCCACGTCCTTCCGAGCAGCGGAGCCCTTTCTAAGCAGAATAACGTTAGACTTGCTCTGCAAACTACTTGTAGAACTGTTCCTTTCAAAGCCTTCGTGTGTTTCAGTGCTCAGAAGTGAGCAGAGAAGGGGCCAAGGCTGAGTCTGCCCCTGTCCTGGATGTGCTGTGTTGCTGTGTGCTGGTCCATCCCTGGGGGGACCCTGGTGCCAGCATGGTGTCCTCCATCCTGCACCCCCACCCCAATCCTCTACCAGCACTCCCCACTGTCCCAGCCACCTGAATTCCCCCTCCAGCAGCACCGCCCCGTCCCAGCTTCACCGCAACGAAAAGTGCAAACTAGTTAGTGTTTAGGGGGTTGATAAAGTGGATAAAGCCCTCAAACAGGGATGAGATTTTTGGAATCCTGTTTTGCTGGGAGTTG